TACCACAGTGTTCTGGTTTGGGAGGTAGAGGTAGTGCGGTAGATGCTGCGCAAGTGCACACTCATTATAAACTAATTTACGTGCAATTCACCGTGGTGTGGGGCACACGGTGGACCTCGTCGGATGCGACTGTCGAACTGTCTGACGGAAGAGGAGTATTAGCAGTGGTGATGGTAGTAGTAGTAGCAGCAGTAGTAATATTAGTAGTAATAGTAGTAGTAGTAGTACTAGTGGAAGCGACAGTTGCGGAATTAGCCTTAACAGTAGTATCACTACTAGTAGTAGTAGCAGTATGTGCGACGGAAATAGTTGAATTTTTAATAGTTGCTTATGAGTTATCGCTATAGTTGCGGAATTAATAGAATGTTGAGGTCTCTTTTACCATTTGGGCCACTCGATTTGGCCGTCCTGATGTGCATTGGGGCCCAGCAGTCGTCCAATAACCATAAATACAATCGAGGTCAAGGGAGACGGTAATGGCTACTGCTGGTTTATTAACCGCCGTCAGCCAACATTACCCAGCACCAGGAATGCAGAACCCAAAACTCCAACACACGTTATTCGATCATCGAACGTGATCAAGTCCAACACACCGTCCACTGAGCCACGAACAGGTGGCCTGCCAGTTGCAATCGGGAATATAAGCTTGTGTTAGAAGCACGTCCGCCGAACAGATTAAGGTTTTACTTTTCCATTTGCAATTTCGGACTCACGTTAGACCTTGTCGCTATTGTGGTTCCTGTAGTTATTTTTTGTTGTTATTATCATTATTCAGAGGTATTTTAGCAGATGTCAAATAAATCACTTTGAACCATGTGTGAAATACTCGGTACCTCGGCGTGATTCGAACAAAACGGCAGCAAAGTGAGGATTTGGTACAGCCAACGCTCTAAATACCTGTTATTGTTGTTGTCGCTGTGTCCCTACTATTACCCGGCCACAATGTCCACACAGGCATTACGCCCTCTCAAACGAATGCCTTAAAGAAAGAGATGCTGTGGTTAGACCTGACAGAA